AAATCGTATTTTTTATAAAATAATATTAAATTTTAATATACATTAAAAGAAGAGAGAATATCATAGAATTGCACATATATTTCCCTCTATAAAAATCTCCATAAAAATTGTAATAGTAATCTCTCTCAAACTACGTGTAAATAACAACATAAACTAAAAATGTATACAAGCGTCACGTTCGGTCAGTCGCTAAAAAATTATAACAGTAATCTCTAACTATGTATAATAACACTTTATCGGACATGGAGTGAAGAAATCGGGCATTACTCGCGACCGAGGTTTTCTTCCGCAAATTATAGATCGTGGACATGGTCGCCGATGGCGAAGGGAGTATGAATCGCTCGGCTCGAAAAACAGTTATCCCGCATGCCGGTCATTGATTTCATCGCGCCGGACGGCCGTTTGTTGTTACGAATTCGAAATTACTCGTCGATTGTCGGCGAAGTGTTGCGAACGCAGGATTTCACAAATAGTAGTAGTAGCGGACAGCGAGTAGTAGGACCGGTCGCAAACCGGGGAGTAGTCATCCTCCGTTGTCGCCAGGCGATTTAATTATCATCGGTCGCGCCCCGCGTTTAACTAGGAGATAATTTTAGAAATTCAGAAATCAAATGAAATCTTGGCGATAAAATAGGGCTAATGATTAATTTTGTGATAAGAGTAAATTTGGTACAATGAGAGATATGTGTCTTGAAGATTGACGGATAAATAGAACGAATCCCAGTGAAGCTATAATCTTCCCATACGCGATAATAGAAATTAATTATAAAATTGTTGAAGGGATGTGAAATACGACTGAGTAAAAGAATGAATAAAGACTTAACCGGCTGGATCGAGTTATGTCTGTAAAAGCCGTTCTGGGATATAACTCCTTCGTGAAAGGCTTAACCTCGGGCTCTCGTATACACGCGATAACGGAAATATTACCCGACTAAGCTTGAATACTCGCATAAGTTTGTGGTCGTGTTCGTGCGAATCTATCAAAGTTGCGTCGGACAAATGATTAATTAGGCCTCTCTGAGCGGCTGAGTTGATTAAGGCAAGGCAAGATATTGAGATAAAATCTTTGTAAAGAGTAAAAATCTCTCGTTATATTAGAAGTTTGATAAAGTTCTATAGGTCGAGGTAGATATTGAGAAAAAATATTTAAAAATTCGTTTCATACGGATATAAGGCAGACTTGTTCCCCCTTCTATTATTAAATTAATTTCGAAAGATCGTTTAAATTATAAGAGCCTTTCTTTGCCATTAAATAACAATAAATTTGAATTAAAAATTAAAAATAAATAAGAATTTAGATTAAAAATATATTATTTTTATGTACCTTTTTTTAAAATATGATACATTAAATTGTAGTTTATATTTAACCACATAGATCCAGGTTCTGATTTTAAGGAACGGCTCGTGGGATACTCGATGGGGGAAGTATTGATGCTTCATAGAGAACCACAAATCGATACATACACGAGACCCGTTCTCCACGTCCTGTATGCGCTTCGGTCTACCACGCGTGAAGGCTTTGGCCGTCTGGCTTACGGTACATTGTAATTATGTTATAGGCCCCATTGCCTCAGCCCCGTTGGTGTGCGGGAGATTCGTGTACCGAAAAATCTCATCGTCTCGCGGAATAATCTTCCAGAACCATATTCTCCTTTGACGCTTTAGTATTTTTTTGCCGAATGTTCCGTTAATCCGGAATAGATTGAAGGATCTAGCAGAGTCTAAGAATAGCATTTATATCGAGTTATTTTTAGTCTGTTTTTTTTTTGTGATTGAAATAAGATTAGTTGTAATCACTTTTAGATTAAAATTTAAAAAAATACTAGGAGTTTGAAATATTATTGGATTTACGGTAAATTTTCTCTTCTCTCTTTTTTCTATAATGTTGTGAATATAATATATTTAAAAAACTTATTTTTTTCACATAGTCTGAAATTTTATATTAATTTATATTTTATATTATAGTGTTGGGATTCTGTAACTTTCTTTATAATACATAATCTCAATTTTTTAATAATGAATCTAAAATGGTTTAATATGCGAAAATATTTCTTAGGAGTTTGTAATCGATCAAGACTTTTCACTGATAATTTCTATCACTGTTATTTTCCACTGTTTTAATATGTAATTCATAAATTAAGGCAATTTTTGCACACAAAAGTTGCATGCGGATTAGAAATGCTGCAGCGAATCCTTTGATCGTACATATTTATTAATCGTCCAATCCGCGCCGTATATAGCGACTGACCGCACATAGCGCGCTCGTATACATCGTTAGATAACAGAACCGACGCGAAGGGAACGTGAAAGGTCTCTGGTTCACGGCGTGGCGACCGGTATCTCGCCGGTATCGCCTCGTCGCCGCGAGTGGGTTCTGGTTGCCAAGCAGCGGCTGCGGAGACGGCAATCCAGGTGGAGAGAGAGATCGTTCCTCGTTTCCTCGTTGCTCAACCACCTCGATTGCGGTCGTGTACGGTAATTACAACGCCCGGTAATACACGCGCGACGTCTTATCCGCACCCGCATATCGTTACTTATTACGCGACGTTCGCCGAGATTACAGGAGCCAAATCATTGATACTTTTGAGAGAATAGACTCTTTGCGTCTCTTGGAAATTGAGGTGCAAGAATAGGCTTTATAAATTTTCAAGTTGCTTAGTAAATTGAAAAATTATTTACGTTATATCTTGGATTATGCAATTATATTTCGTAATCATTGCCTGATCTCGATTATACAATCTAGTTCTCAGTGTTATTTTGTTTCAGATCTTGCAATATTTTAAAAAAACGAGAAAGTAAAACACTTATTATAATACTTATTAATCATAGTTAAAATAACTCTTTTATAGTCGCTGGAAATTAAATTCGTTTTCTTTGAAATTAATTTAACTTTTTTTAAATATTTATGAAAAGCATGTACAATCGATTACATTTACTTCTCTATTATCTGGATTGGATATCACGAAATAAATGCTATATTATGTGTCTGTCTGTTCTCGGACGAAGAAAATTACGCGAGTGTGTGATTAGGTGAACATTACGTAACTAACTAAAATACTCGGCGTGCACATGATTTCCCAAGATGCAGAGCCGATTAATTGACTCACGTGCAACATTGAAAATATGACATAGCAGTGACATTGGTCTAATTTATAATACTCAGATCGAGTGTGAATATTTATTATTCGCCTTATTTTTATCTTTTCAATCGATGTTCTGATTTGACATTTTAACAAAATTTAGCTATCAGATTATTTTCTAATACCTGGAAAATGTTTATATTGCATTTAAATATTTGCAACGTGTTATTTAATCAAACTTTTATGAGTGAAATTAAAAAAATTTTGTTGTTCGGAATTTCAATCTCGAGTATAGTAGTAATATTGAGAGGTCGATTACACGAAAACGAGACTCGATTTACGGCCCGTGGGTCGCAGGTCGCGGCTGACTGGTGGCTCACAATGCGCGATCCCGGTCGATGGTTTTTTTTTTCCTGTAAACGAGTTCTCTGTCGAATCGGGAAACGCGTTGGCGATGACGAAAAACCGACGGAGAACGGCCAGTCGAAGATAAACTGTCGCTGTCACCACCTCGTATACACGCATATCGCGAAACAATATTTGAAGTATGCAACCCGCGTTAACAGCCATGACTTTAATCTCCGCGCGCTAGATTGGTCTATATGGTAAAAGTGATCGGTTTTTTTCGAGCACCCACGCTCTGGATGTTATCAAGCTGTGCGGCTTGATCTCTGCCAATTTTGGAGATCTCATCGCGAGATAAGAGAAACGAATTGTAGCTATAATCAAATATATGAACAGCTTCTTTACTCATGTATTCTATTCTACAAGAGATATTTGAATTTATTTATGATATAATAAAATAATTTAAAAAAATAAAGTCATACATCTAATTTTTATTTTCATTTAATCTATGCTGTTAGAGAATTTTTTATCGTCCCAGATAAAAGAAATCTGTTCCTCTTCGTTTATTTTTCATATTTATTTTATTATAATTTTTCCTTCTTTTTTTATTTGAGAATTTTGAATATATGTTTATATTGTATTTATTTTAAGCATGGAAAAAGAACAACAAAAGCTAAAAGGAATAGATTCTCAGATAAATGCACGAGTGTAGGATATACGTAAGGATATAATCTCGCGACCGAATCTTCGTGAACCGATGCTATACTTGACGAAACGCATGATCGTGTACAAATAAAACCGAAAGTCTTCTCGTCACAGAAAGTACAGCAAAGGAGGGAAAATGTGGGCGTGCGATACCGCGATATCGATTGCGGAGATCATCCGCTCGTGCTTTCGATCTCACTTGAATTTTATTATCTCGCGCCGAGACATTTCCCTCCCGCCCAGGAAATGAACTCGCTGTCAAAATTGCGTCGCTATTCTTTCCGCGATATATATTTCCCATTTCGTAATTCTTGGAAATTGATTTTTTTCAGGACAAATCTAAAGGAGGGAAATTTTGAGGGCGATTTTCTTGCCATCTGAAGGACCAACGAAAAGGCATGGCGAGACAACAGACCGTGGATCGAAACATTCCTCATCTGCGGGACATCTTCGGCTTCGGCAGCAAATGGGACGCACGCGGCCACGCCGAGGAGAAGGCGCCCGGGCACGATAGCGCCGTGTCGGTGGGCTCCACGTCGGGCGAGGAGGAGAGCCCGAAGAACAGCAAGAAGAAGAAGTCGCGTCGCCGCGACAATAGCAAGACGCTGACGGAAAGCGACGTTAAACACCTGGAGCGGCACCTGTCGATGAAGAAGACCATACGCAAAAAAATCATGCGTGATCTGCAGCAGGCTTTCGTCGAAGACCCGAACGAGTTTCGCGTGGACGACATACCGCCAGAGCAGCTCAAGGCGGAGATCAATATCCAGAGCCTGAGCTTCGGCACGCCGTCCCAGAAGCAGGGACGCACGCGTGGCAATGCCGAGAGCACGTTCCTCGATATGTTGCGCGGTGGCGGTAAGAAATTTGTGTCTGCTATTTGAAACTAAACTAGCAGTTTTATTAACTTTCAATTATTTCGAGATTTCCGAGATCTAATAAGTTTGAAAATAATATAATGTAATTTATTTCCTTAAAAAGAACGTTATATAAAAAGTAAACGCTGAGAATTTAATAAAATATATTATTTAATTAATTCATATTTCTCTCTTTTTTATAAAATATTATAACATTTCACAAATCTAATTTTGAAATATGTTCTTTTCAAATATTAATTTTTACAGAAAAGTTATTTATGTGTTCACATACAATAAAATCTTATATTTTATCTTATTATATCAGATTTTATTTTTTACAAATCTTCTTTAGATGATCATATGAAACTTTAAAATGTTTTAGGTTTGGAAAAAAACGGAACGGACGGTGATCGAGATTCGGGACACGGGGGATCGCCGACCAGGGAGACGCCCAGCGCTCAGGACACGGACGACGAGTCCAGCTATGCATACGAGGCGCCAGCCACGACGCCCACAAAGAAGAGCGGCAATTTCTGGAGACGCTTCACCATGAAGAATCGCAATAAGCGATAAATCCACGGATTTATCCAAGATCAATCAACGCAAAGAGAGAGCGTACCGATACTTTATATTCTCCGTCATCTCGATAATTTTTACCAGCGTAGTTAACGAAGCAGAGCTTGCAACTGTGATATACATAAAAACCAATTCATCTCCATCTCTCCCTCGTCCCCCTCCCTCCCGAGACGATTCTTCTCCGTCGAATTTTAAGAGGTTCCCGAAATTCAATCGCACAACAAGACCGAGGACCAATCAATGCTGTACAAATTTCGGATCTAAGCGCATAAATTTTTATACAATACGATACATCAAAAGAACATACACACCTTTTGGACCAGCATTTTTATCATGTGTTATCACGACATATCACGAGATGTAATCAATGCCGAGGTAGAAGAGAAGAGAGACACAGGTAATTTATACCTTTTTTAAATTCTAAAATAAGAAAAAGTAATTTAAGAATTCAGAAAATGCAAAAAAGGAGTATGTACTTATTTTCATTTTGAAAAAAAGATAAAAATTCTTTTATAATTAAATCCCTCGATCCCTCGTAGCTAAGTATCCTAGCGAAGGTATTGGAAGAAAAGCACTCTGCAAATACAAATTTTTTAGCTGCGTTTTTTTTTTGTGTTTAAAACGGAATTTATATATTCAAGCTCCGAAGAGAAAGAGAGAAAGAAGGAGAAAATAAAGCATAGCAAAAAAATGCGGTCGGAACGAACGGATTTATGTAGGGATTGTCCGAGCAATTCCGCTGTACATATATATATATATATATACTCTTTCTCGAAATATATCGGGGGAACTTCTTAAAACTCTCCGACTCGAAACGCGTAACGATCGATGTACCCGATAACGTATGTAACTCCCATCTTTTGACACGTACTTAAAGAAAACGTAAAAATAGAAAACGAAGGCAGCGACACAGACACGTGTGTAGTATTTAAGAGTTTAGCTAGTTTTATTTTTTCTTAACATAAGAACGCGGATAAGGCAATTGTAGGTGATCGGTATTAAAAGAGGTATGTACGCATGCGCGCCGATTAGGTATTAGCTAGTCAACATCGTTAAAACATATACCCGAGAGACCCGGACGATTTTCTTACTAGCAAAATCGGATTTGATATCGACTTTTTTGTAACACACACAAAACTCGAAAGTAAGATATTTTTTAGCTATTTTTTACCAGTTCGAAAAAATTTACAACTTTAAGATTCATTCGAAAAATACACACACATATATAAGGAACTTGGTGAATTATGTTGTTTAAATGCGATACATTGCATTTTTCGTTATACACTTTGAACTTTAAGATATATTGGTGTTTATCGAAATGCTATTGTTCCTACCGTTTTTTGAGATATTTTTCGCTAGTATTATAGGCATTGTCATTCGCGAAAACGGTTTATACATTTGTATCAACTGTTGTATCTCTCCCTCATCCTTTATTACGATAATAATAATTATAATAATTATTCCTTTTAATATTAACTGCAACATTATATGTATATTATAAGCTTTAAATGTATCATATTCGAAGACTACGTCATATAAGAGCAGCAATATACTCGAATAAAAATCTCATAGATATTATGCTTGTTTTTAACACACATACACATTACTCGTTTTTCTTGCAAAAAAGTTTATTGTAATATATATCTCATAACAAATGTAATAGATAATACTTTTTGTTTAACCTTTAACTCTGACAAGCAGTATAAATGTTTTAAAATTTCTTTGCGGTTAAACATCGTAATCTGATAGATCGCGCCTTGTCAGTTACAGGCAATGGAGATCAAAAAGGATATATATTTAGTTAGGATTATTTTATATTGTATATACAAAAGAGTGCGATATAAAAATACTTCAAAAAATATTCATAAACATTTGCTTTTTCTTTTGCACATAATCGAGGATTATTCATTCGTAAATTTTGGCGGACGTTTCTCCAGGAAAGCCGTCATTCCTTCTTTTCTGTCCGCCTAAAAAATTAACGTTTTGATACGTTAATAAATTTGTAAGTTTCTTTTATACAGACGATCATATAAATATATGTACAAACGGAAATCTTACCAGAGAGAAAGTACTGTGAAACAGTTTCTTCTCAAATTGAAGTCCTTGTTGCAATGTTGTTTCATATGCTAAAATTAAATACAATATAAGTAAATATACACATTTCGCGCAGACTTAAATTACACAAATCGACATGCTTAAATAATTTTTTAGATAACTTATCAAATAATTTTTAATTACCAGCATTAACAGACTCTTTGGCTAGTGAAACGATTAATTGTGAGTGAGATGCGATTTTCTCGCCCAGTTTCACCGCTTCTCCGACCACTTTGTCAGCCGGGAAAACCTTACTGACCAAACCTAGGCAGATAAAATAAAATAGAATTTTTAGTCTTAAATTCATAA